CACGATCAGGCTTTCTTGTCCACGTAGTTTGTAGTAAAGACACCAAGTAAACAAAGTGTTACAATGTGATCACATTTTGGTTAAAATTATAAAGAGTGCAACCTGATTTGTCTCAATGTTTGGCTGTCATGCACCTAACTACCAAATCGAAATACTATTTTTAAAAACCCTGTACGTATGTGATGATCTAATCTTGAAGATAAAAAGAATCAAGAATTGATGTTCTATGATCAGATGATATTTTACTAACTCCAATTTACTCGAATGTATACCAGATCACGTCCAATAGTATTTGCGAATACTACAACAGAAAATAACTTGTCTTCTGGGGTTTTTTTAATAGTCTTATTTTTGTGTATAACGCTCTGGTCGGGAACATTCTGTATGCAGTCTAATACGGAACGTACTCCAAAAATAAGAACAATTTGACATTGACATTTTGTTCATTTCACAACAACTTTTGTCGAAACGCAGATTTAAGACGATGCATCAAATCGTGATATTTGCTTTCTACTGTAAGAAGTGCTAGAAAGCGGCACATTGAAAGGTAATTTGAGTTAGTCACCTGCTATTGAGATTCGCGTCCACAAATAGATTATCCCTATGGTGTGCCCTAGTTTCATGCCACTAAAATAAGCGAAACATAGAGTTTTTTGAAATTTGAGACATAATTGAGAAATGGCGGTGTACAGGTGTACACACAATTCAAAGCACAAAATTTAGAAACGGTTGTTACTAATTTTTAAATTAAAAAATTATTCCCTGACTGAAGTCAATCTAACCAAAGACTATAGTCTTTGGTCTAACATCGCTTTGATATTAACGTGACATCTTCATTTGTCTCACTATGCACTGGTAAATTTGAACAGAAGACAGGAAATTGCACAATACGTTGATAAATTGCAATATAGTTCACAAGGCTGAATGAATGCGAACAATACAAGGTGTGAATATTTTGGCGAGTGTTGACATACTTTCCATTTGGGTCGTGTGCGTGATTCTAGGGGCCGGCTTGTGGTCTCACACACGTGAATGTTGGCCGATCGGTTCCGGCACGAATGCCATTTTGGTAAGAATAGCCACAAAGATCATACCAAGAAGACACATGTAACAAAATTGGTCGAATTTGCCGTCATCGTCATATCTAGGGATCGTTTGATCTCAGAGTTTCATTTCTATTCCATTTACCATCGTACCACATACACTCGGAACACATAACAGTGAACAACGCTAAACATAGCAATTTCATTTCAAACAACTAGGGATATTTCTGGCTAGTACTCTTTCCAGTGACGTTTCAAATTTGCGAACACAATTCTCATTGCCTTCGTTGAACCATAGACAGTCTATGGTTGAACCTGCTATGTGGTACTTGGCAACGCATTAGGAACTATGTTAGACTGGCACAGTCTGGGCAATTTATTTCTTTTTAAATTTAAAATTAAATAAAAAAAAATAGCGAAATGGAGGTGTTAACTCAAAATCCCTTGTAACCGCGAAATCACGTTTTGCGTTCACCCCACTATTCGCAAAACTATTTTTTCCATTTAAAAAAAAAAAAATCACCACAGCTGGGCCAGTCTGGAACTGTGTAAATGTTTGTGAAAACTAGACTGACGATGTATACGCAAAATATACGTAGATCTGCGTCTGTACATATGAAAATATCTGCTTACAACTGGTTTTTAATTCGTGTCGAAAACGTGCACAGAATGGTCATTTTGTGCACGTTTTCGACACGGCTTATCAGCCAATTCAAGTGCCAAATCCATGAAATCAACAGCCAATGTCAATAGAGTAGCCTAGATGTTAAAAATGAATTAAGTACTGGCAAACCAACTTCTGCATAGGTATACTCAGAAGCCCTCAAAACCTAATATTACATGTGAGAACGAAACAAATCCGATGAGATTTCACGTTTTCCCCGTTAAAGGGATGCTGGCTGTTCCCTCTCTGGACTCTCTCCCCGCGTATACTAGTACTACCAACTCCTACCATGTCCTCATTTGGTGACACATGTCAAGCTATAAACGAGCAGCAGCACTCATTCCACTTTAATTGCATTTTAATCAACCACATATCGCTTAACTTACGACCTGAAAACGATCATATTTGTATCCCTTTCTTTTCTTACTCGCTTAACACTGATCACTTGTTCAAACACTGACACTGGCACATGAGTTGTCGAAATGGTTGTTTTAGTGCTAAAGTTTGAGGATTCAAAAGTATTAACCATTATTTAATTTTGAACGACACTTCCAATCCATCATACTTTGTATCGTTCGCGAACGCATCTTAAACTATGACCTCTTGTTATGTGAACGTTCCACAACAAGCTGATAGAGCGGAACTGTGTTTCGTTTGAATCCAGGGCTGCTACCTCGTTTTAACAGTATGATTATCGAGACATTTACGTGATACAGGCAATGCTAACTCCTCAGGGCAGAGAACCCAGGAACATATTGATGTGTTTTCAAAAAACAAAAAAAAGATGCCACGACCATGTATTTAAAATGTGAGCAAACAGACGGGCGATGTTTCTGGGTTTGCGTGGTCGAAAAACAAAGCGGTAATTATTCAACAAGCGTTTGCAAAAGCGAGTGACAAAAAATGATCGATAAGCAGAAGCGAGCAGGAGGTTGGGTGAAATTAGTGCTGTACACTCAGGTTCTTTGCAAAATACAGAAAACAGAAAAAATGCAGTTTTGAATATTGACACCGTTCGTATTTTTTAAATGAGTCAAAACAAACAAAAATTGTATGCTGCTTAAGCGATGATCGATCAAAACAGACCCGTTTTGCAAGTTTTAACGGCTACGTTCTGCTGATATAAGACTTCACTTTCAGAGTTATTACAGAAGATAATGTACAAGAGCAAAAAAACAACAACATTTGGTTATGTGAAATTAATAAGCATTCATGTAGGTCCAATCAGTACTGTTGTATCGTTTATTTCGTCAACCGAACGTTACAACCTGGACCTGCTGGTTGATTAGTATTGCAAATATCATTTCTTTCTCCCTGGTCAATGAATCCATAATCAATTGGGTATAAGTATGTTGTTTTAGAATGATTTTCATTTGGTTTCACATGATAGTTAGTCTGATTTATCATACAGCATTACAAACAGGGAGTCCTCGGCATGGGTCTACTATACCCCAGACCACTCATTTTGATGAGTGGTCTGGGTGTGGCTTGCAGGTAAGAATAGACAAGCAGCCTATCGGCTGAGATAGCTCCGCTGTTAGCAATGTACATTTCAATTAAAGAACTGAAGACATCATTAGAAAATGAACAATATGTATAGTATTAAAGTAATCGGACTTACAGTTTTTAACAAGAAGTTGAAAATATCACTTTCTACCAAAAATGACAAAAATATTCACCAAAATTAGAGAATTGACGATATCATCATGAAATGAACAAATCTGAGAGAGGTCTACCCAAAATACATATACAACAAGTATCAAAGCATTCAGGCTTGTAGTTTTCAAGAAGAAGTCGAAAAAGTAAAACATTGACATGGACGACGGACAATCACTCATATGATAAGCTCCGCTCGACAAAGTCGACAGCGGAGCTAAAAATGGATTGCGATGAGGTTGTGATTATTTGGATTTTTGAGAACAGATTGTTACTAACAAAGGATTATTTTTCAACACAGATCAGCAGTCAAGAGAGTGGCGTTTGGACGTAACCCCGGAGTTGAACTGGGCCCAAATTGATAGGGAGTAAAACAAAAAATTGGAAGAGCTGTCCATGCATTGACCAATCACACAAGAGCTCACAAACACCAACAAAATATTTGTTGTTATACTTAACAAAGGGGTTTGTCATTAAAAACAATGGAACGTTTATAGGCTTAACGTTGGATTTAGATCGTGTTATAATTCAAATCCCCTAGAAAGAGTTATAAGCACAAATTTTCATATGTACAGTGGTTTGTCACATGTTTGTATATACTACGTATATGTAGGAATACGTTAGACAGCATTGTTTTGCATTACATGTATGTTAATGTGTGCACTGTTTACTTCCGGTCTGCGTAAATATACTGCTGTGTAGATTTACGTATCAGTATGTTCCGAATGCGCCGACCAACGTATATCTTCTAATATCGGGAATATAATATATATCAACGATTTTGCCCAGTGCTACTTGCCTAACTATACAAAACTGCAGATGTGAGAGAAGGGTTTAACCTACTTGCCTAACTGTACAAATCTGCAGGAGGTGTGAGAGAAGGGTTTAACCTACTTGCCAACTGTACAAATCTGCAGGAGGTGCGAGAGAAGGGTTTAACCTACTTGCCTAACTATACAAATCTGCAGGAGGTGTGAGAGAAGGATTTAACCTACTTGCCTAACTATACAAATCTACAGGAGGTGCAAGAAGGGTTTAACCTACTTGCCTAACTATACAAATCTGCAGGAGGTGTGAGAGAAGGGTTTAACCTACTTGCCAACTGTACAAATCTGCAGGAGGTGTGAGAGAAGGATTTAACCTACTTGCCTAACTATACAAATCTGCAGGAGGTGTGAGAGAAGGGTTTAACCTACTTGCCTAACTGTACAAATCTGCAGGAGGTGTGAGAGAAGGGTTTAACCTACTTGCCAACTGTACAAATCTACAGGAGGTGCAAGAAGGGTTTAACCTACTTGCCTAACTATACAAATCTGCAGGAGGTGTGAGAGAAGGGTTTAACCTACTTGCCAACTGTACAAATCTGCAGGAGGTATGAGAGAAGGATTTAACCTACTTGCCTAACTATACAAATCTGCAGGAGGTACAAGAAGGGTTTAACCTACTTGCCAACTGTACAAATCTGCAGGAGGTGTGAGAGAAGGGTTTAGCCTCCTTGCCTAACTGTACAAATCTGCAGGAGGTGCAAGAAGGGTTTAACCTACTTGCCTAACTATACAAATCTGCAGGAGGTGTGAGAGAAGGATTTAACCTACTTGCCTAACTATACAAATCTGCAGGAGGTGTGAGAGAAGGGTTTAGCCTCCTTGCCTAACTGTACAAATCTGCAGGAGGTGTGCAAGGAGTGCTCCGCCCACTTGTATAACTTTATCAATCTGCAGGAGGTGTGTGAGGAGGGTTTTGCCAATTTTTACAAATCAGTGTGTGCCTGGGGGTATCTTCTGTGCCTAAGTGTAAGTACAATGTAGAGAGGATGTTATCAATCTATATACATTACATATACTCACTTCATGAAATAGTTCAACAACGCTGATATAATATGGCTTATTCCGAATTGTTTTTTTCAACATTTTATAAATACATACTTCAATAAAGAATGAGTCATTAATAGCATCCAGTCCAATTCCAGGCTGTAATTAAATGAATAATTAGTAATCAATTTTTACAGAGTTTGTTATTTGATTGTGTTATAAAGACACACAACTGGACATGTAAATGACAATAGATTCCGAGTTGTATACAGTTTGGACACAAACAAGGTGGTCTATTAACATTTCTCAAAATATTAATGTTAGTGTGTATGACACTAAGGTTCTTGAGATATTTTGAAATGGTTTTACTATAATAGTGGTGTTGACCTGCCATACACAAATTTCAAAATACCACTAATAATATATGTACTATGTTAAGAAATGTTGTTAGAAATGTCAGCTCAATTGTATTAACATTTAACACCAGCATTTATATCACCTAAGATTTCTAGTTCAATTTTCAAAAATGACTTTGTTTATTTTGAGAATGAACAGGATATTCCTTGAAGATATTGAGGATTATTTTTGAAAAAGAAATATGCAGGTTATTTTGTGAATGTACCTGTGCTTCTAAGAAAAAAAATAAATGTGGAACATTTTACCTTTTTATACCAGCATGGCTGTCCTCTCCTTGTAATAGAACCATCCATCATATCATCAGACACTAGAAAATATGCTTGTAGCTGTAACAAGGAAATACATGTAGTATGATCACTGTTATTGGTGATTGAGGCAGACCAAAAGTAAAAGTTGATAAGCAATTGACTTTGTGATGGTTACCTGTGAATAGCATCACAGAATGTCATGAATGCGCATTATCAGACAGGCCATGTTAGGTGTTATCATACAGGGTATAAATATGAGAAACTCACCCACTCAATACACCAACCTAAAACCATAGCACATTTCATTTCCTCATCGTCAAGACTTGATTTGTCTTTCAGAGACTTATATGAACTCAATACAGTGAGTCCTCTGTTTCGTTTACCACCTGGTACATTGTACTCTAACACCTAGAAAGGAAAAGGAACATACATGTAACTATTACAAATTACCCATTGAGAAAGTAGATATTAAACAAGCCAGTAGGCTGGTTGGCGATCCGCTCCGCTCAAAAACAAGCAACATGTTTTTGGTTGTTTCCATAGTGTGACATAAACGTGAAGCTAACTTCGGTTTATAACTAAATGGGTCTGTATACGTGGTTTGCAAAAAACATTCAGTCTTTAGAAGTCACTTAGGTTATTACTAGAACGTATTCTTCTGTTACATCATTTATTATTTCCATCCGTTTTGAACACTGCTATTACAAAACCACAGTCAGCTGGCATCGGTGTCGCTGGGTGTATATACTTATACTTTATTAAACACGTAAAATTCCCCAGGAGGAATTAAAATGGTTACATTTACACTAAACAGTGAGTTTAGCTGACTGTGTACAAAACTGGTAGAAGGTAATACATTTGGGGCGAAAGTATTCAAAAATCAGTTTTTGGATGTTGCAATAGCAGTGGTGGGCCAGGATTTTTTTCCAATTAGTGACGGCACGACCTACCTGTGAAGTATGAACAAAACCAGCCGAGCCGAAAAAATCACAGAGGAGTTAA